CCCGTGCCCTATAGCAAAACCCTTTCACCAAAAAAAAAAAAAAAAAAAAAAAAAAATTCAAATGTGCATACCTTTGACCCAGCAATTCCTCAAGAAATACACACTGACCGGGCAAGGATATGTGTATGTAAAGTTGTCGACTATGACAGCACTGAAAAACCAAAGTCACACTATCTGTTCATTTATAGAGAAATGGCGAAAGCATGGCATATCCATATTGTGGAATCTGAAGGGTGCGAGCCTTTAAAAAAATGAAACATAAAAGGTTCTGATAAGGAAGAGTGTCTCTGATAGATCACTGAGAAAGAAGATTGCAGATTCTTGAGTTTACATAGGATTATTCCTTTTTTATTTTAAAAAAATACTCTACAGATGTGTGTCATACAGGAATATGTTAGAAAGGATATGTACCCAACACGTCTCTTTGGGAGTGGGACCGTGTGGTAGAGACATTTTCATTTTTTACTTTACACACCTCTGAATAGTTAGAAAAGTTTATAATGAAAAGTTCCATAATTTTAAGATAACTAGTAACTTTTACATCTTCTATGTTTTCACATTCTTTATTCATGATAGACTGTATGCACATAAGAGTGACTTGTAAATGAAAGAGAGAGAGAGAGAGAGAGAGAGAGAGAGAGAGATAAGCACCCTCCACAGAAATTGGTTAACCTCAAGCCCCTTCCTTCAGTCCTCCAGTCTGTGGGTTCTGGCACTGGCCCAGCAAGTTTCAGGATGAGAGGGCTGAGGATCAGAACCACAGTGACCAAGTGGCATCTGGCTACTCTGGAGCAGCTCATTATCACTGCTGAGCCATGAAGTCAGTCCCATAGTTTACCTTGGAATATCCACTTGTTTATATTTGTGAGATAAATTCACCAAGGATTCCAATTTTAGATTGAAATTACACCTGTTGAGGGTGTAATATGTAACTCAATATTCAACTCAGGAACCTACCAAAAGATTCCTTTGGTAGAGGTACAGAAATAATTTCAGATCTTGGGCGTTCCCATGATAGGAAGAAATCACACTTCATCTCTCTGCAGCTGAGATAAAAACTTAAGAGTAAATTGTCAATTTAACTGCAAAAGCAAAAACAAAGAAACCAAACAACAAAAACGAAACAAACAAAAGCCTCATCAAGGACGGAGATCCTAATTTAAGCCCCAAACAATGTCCACCAGAAAAAGACAACTTGCTATGCTAAACTGCATAACCAAGGCAAAACCGGTGGTGGTGGTGGTGGTGAGACAGTAAAGGTAAAAGAAAAGGATAGGAGCCTTAAATCCATCTGCAGCTTTCAAAGTTTGCTTCTTGATTCCCTACAGAAGACCACGTGAAAAGCAGGTAGAGCCAAAGCAACTGTGATTTTCATAACTACCTTCGAGTTCTCAGAAGCCAGTGATTATTTTCTTTTCTCTTAAGATGCGAGGACATCTCCATATCCAATGCTGGAGCGCGCCCAAGGCGTCAACTTGCGACAGGGAGGCTGTGAGATGAACACTTTCCCTTCCAAGGCTGCTCCAGCCAGCAACTGGGCTGGCCTGGAGAGCGGAGGGCAGTGACCAGTCTGCGACGGGAAAGACTCCCCAAACCAAATAAAACACATCTCCTAGGCCAAACCAAGCTCTCCGAGGCGGGGGCAGGGTACTGGCAAGGGAAACGAGTTGCTAATCCCAGAGCTATCATCACACACGCGCGAACTTGACCTGACCCACACCCACACAGCAGCAAGTGCAAAGCTGGGAGCTCCAAACAGGAAGAGAAACGGCTCCCTGGTAGCGGAGTAAGCCAATCGGTTCCATTTTTTTCCTGCCCTCTCGGGACAACACAGGCCAAGCAGCGACCCTCGGTTCCACCCCATCCCGCTCGGCCCCGCCCGCGGCCCCCTCGCGCCCAGGTGGCTTCAGAGGTGGAAAGGTTCCCCAGGTCCGGATGCCATCTGCACTCTGGGTTCTGGACCGAGGAAGACGCATCACTTGCACCTCAGGGGCACCATACTTACCTTCATAACCAACACCCTGGACTCCATCGCGGCTCTCACCACCGTCTTCTCGGAGTCCTGCAACAACCCCTTGGGTCTTGGAAGCAGCCATTACTCTGCTGAGGAGAAAAGGGCGGGGCTGGGATGGTTCAGCACCAATAAAAACACGACTAGCGACGAACTCCCAATCGACGCGGTGTTTCGTCCACACCTACGCCGGGACGTCACACTCTGGGCCAATAGGTCGTGGAGAGAGAAACCTAATTCCTGCCCATAGCCACTGCCGCCACGCCCTTTTCCGGGACGGAGACACCAGAACTACAGTTCCCAGCGTGCTACGCGGGTCTCTGTGAAGGGAGGGTTGGAGGAGGCGCAGGCGGGCGGGGGTGCGCCCAAGAGTGCCCCGGCGTGTTCGCTTAGTTCAGTGAATCAGAACAATGACTGCGCCGCCCGGTCCTCAGGAGCGCGTCCGAGGTCTGTGAGCAGCCCCCCGCCGCCAGGAGAGCGGCGGGCGGCGCAGTCTGGTCGGCGCGGTGTCAACGCCGGACTCCAGAGCCTGCAGCGCAGACCCTGCCCAGAGCCCGCAGCCCGCGCGGAGCCGCCGGGCTCCAGCGCTGCAGCCGCTACTCGGGAGCTGTGCATTGTTGTGAGCGGGAGAAGGGGCGCCGGGATTACAAAGCCTGAAGACCCCGGAGCCCCGCTTTAGCCATGTGGATACCTACGGAGCACGAGAAATACGGCGTGGGTGAGTCTCCACAGGGCGAACTTTTATTCCGCTCTGCCGCGAGCGGGTGCGCATTTCTCGTCCTTGCCCCAGCGCCCCTCTCGCTTCCTCGGCTGGAAATGCCTAATCCTGGCATAGCTCAGCGGGTCTGGGGCTTTGCCGAGCCAGACGGGACAGGAGGGTGCGTGCCGGGATCTCGTGTCCCACTGCTCGGACCGCGCGCCCAGCACCGGCTCCCGGTGCCCCGGGACGGCTTGGGGGGAGCGCACGGCTGGGCCGCCCGCTCCCGGCTCTGCTTGCGGAGTTTGGAGTGGCAACGGGGCGTGTGTGTGTGTGTATGTATGTATGTGTATGTGTCAAGTTGGAAGAGGAGGCGAACGACGTTCCTCTCCCTCCTTCCGCTTCTTCCCCAAAGCGGCGAGGAGACAGCAAAGGGCTGCAACGATTTTCCAGGGTGGAGAGGGAGACAACAATACTCGGGTGGAGAGGACACCCACCCAAAACAGTAGAGCCGTAAAATCTTCCTCCTGGCTGTCGTCAACATTCCCGGAGAGCGGAATGTGGCATAGTCCTCAAAAGAGCCGCTCTGACAGACCGAGTCGGGTCTGAGACTCCTGCCTCCCTCCCATCCCGGGCTTATGGGGTGTGTGTTGTGGGGTGGGGGTGGGGGTGGGGGTTAGTAAAGTTCAACATCTGCGCCGCTCTGCTCTTTGGTCTTTGGAGGAGAACGAGTGTTTCTACTTCTGACCACGCTCTCACCCCAGGGTGAGCGCTGTGGGGGTAGGGGTGGAGGACCGCTGTGGAGTGATAATGGGGAGGGGGGATCGCAAAGCTTGAGTCTCCCGGGCAGCGAAGCAGCTTTTAGGAAAAGACTACCCTGACACGGGCGTTCGGAGAAGGAACTGGATAGCGCTCGCTGTTCTGTGCAAAGGTGAACAACAAAGGACATTAATGTTGACTGATGAATACGAGAGTCTCCCTTCCTTTCCCTCCTCCCATTTCAGGCGGATTACAGTTCCCGTTTTTGTTGTTTGATTTCAGCTGGGTTGCCCCTTGACAGTTACTCCTTTTAGGGTTGAGACTAAGAAGCAGGGCTTTCTGACAAGCCTGCAGCGGCCAAATGCAATTATAACCTCCCAGAAGGTCTTAACAGAGAAAAAGCGTTATAGATTTTACTGTTTGCTAAATGCTCCACTGGCGTACTTTTTTTTTTTAAGTGGGAACAGATCTAATGATTAAGATGATATGTATATAATTTATACACACACACACATGTTTTAAATTATTTTTCCTGCACTATAAAGCCTTTCCAAGGAGTCATAGTCACAGGGTTTTTGTTTGTTTGTTTTTATTCCAAACTTAGCTTAGGGATAGGGCTTTGGAGTCCACTAAAAGGACTGTATGATTACATAAAGTCATGCTCATGTTTTACATCCGCGTGCGCTATGGATTGGAACTAACTGGTGAGCTAGACAATAGTTTGTCCTGGACCCATCTTGGAAAAGGTTTCCGGCTTCCTCTCTCTTTGAAGTGTGAGGGGAGCGTTAGCAGAGTGCTTCACTGGCAAAGAGTGAATTATTTTCCTTCTCCTTACTCTATTTTTTTTTTTTTTTAAATGGAGTGTGGGTGGGGTGGGAAGGGTAGACTAACCCTTGTTAGGAAAAAGACATCACCTCTGCTAGACCGATGAAGGACCTGAGGGCATCGCCTCCAAACCACCTCTAAGGCTCTGTGCAGGAAGCTCAGACCCATCAGGGCAACACTGTCCCGCTTGGAGTGGATCCCAGATGTTGCTTTCTTCCAAGTGTTAAATTACACAGATTATGGATGGGATTTATATTCTTGATTTCTTTATGTGCCAGGTCACAGCTGGGGTATGGTATTGATTAGTTCTTCCCTCGCCTTTACAAGCTGTGGGCAGAGGCTTAAAACCACTCTGGGGTTTTTTGAAATGGTAAACCGGATATTCCAGTCAAGTGTTGGGGGGGGGCAGCAGACACCTCAGTTCTGGATGGTTGTGATTTGGTTGCAGAGTAGTGAGAGGTAGAAAGGTGTGCACACATTTGGGAGAAGGTTCAGCCAGATGAGCAGAACGAGCAGTCTTCTGCCCAGAATCATTGCGGTCGTTCTCATTTGTACTATATAACACACATGCAAGAATGTTAATCATCTTGTGTGATTAATTTTTGAGCATTTGGTTTGTGGAATGCTTAGCTGTCTTTTAGAATCCATCTGTTAGCCGTGTGTGTGTGTGTGTGTGTGTGTGTGTGTGTGTGATGAAAATTTTGCTAGGGTACTTATGTGTGGACTTGATTTCTCACCATGGAGAGCACTATTTGTAGTTGATTACACTGTTCATTATTTCTTTTTAAAGCATTGGTTAGTATGTTTTTCCTCATTTGGTTCTTATAAATATTAAAGAAAAGGTATTTTATGAGCACAGATGTTTGGCTGATATCAGGTGTGGTAGTAATTCAATTTCCTCCTTCTTTACCATAAATCAGCCTTGGAAACTTATAGTACCTGACGTTTCCATGTACATTGTATATTTCTACAATGATATTTCTTACGTGCCATTATTTATGTGTGGGATACTTATGTCTTTATAAATATGTCATGAATAAATTTGAAGCAGCGTTCTATAAACATGGACAAAATTATTTGAGTTTTATACCTGGAGTAAGTTGTATCAAGAGAGATAAATTCTGTTTCAAATGTGACATATGGATACTATTTTTTCCATTGATTTAATTGATAAATGAACGTAAGACAATGTATGCTCAGTCATATACAGCAGTGTTCTGATTCTAGGGAAAGGTATAATGATCCAGGCATAGCCCTGAGGGACAGGGAACCTTGTCTTTGTAACAGACATGTTGGTCAGCACATTGAAAGGCATATTTCATTTTTGGAGAGTCTAGTTCTAGTCTAGGCACTGCTGCCAGCTTTATGTCATGTAACTTTTCTGTGGCTAGGTCACAGTCTCTTGGTCAAGTGCTATGTAAACTGTAGAGCTTTCCTACCCAAATGTGCCCTTCGGTTAGAAGAACGTCTCCATTGGGTAGAGATGGCTATGAGAGAGACTTTTATTGTGATGTGTTCCTCATGGTTTTTAACTAAGATCAGAGGTAAGCAGAAGCTATCTGGCAAGCTGACAGAACAGAGGTGATGTTTGCTCACTTTCTCAATCTGTTTGATGCTTTTTTTCCAAAAGAAGGTACACTGGCAGTGACTAAAGAATTCTTCAAAAAACAATTTTTTTTTTTAAAGAGAGATTTTTTGCTATAGGGCGCATGTGCTTGCAAGAGAGACAAAGAGAGAGACGGGAAGAGAAAAGTCATTGCCCAGGTGGGCATGGTCATGCTGCAATCCTATTTCTTCTATTCTCCTTTTGGGATTTTAGGCACTTATGCACAAGCACCGACATGAGTTTTAAACCACCTGGTCTGGGACTCAAACCGTGGTTGACTACATGGGAATCCAGCAATGTAATCGTTATGCCATCTGCTGGTCTCCCCCTAAGACATTTTATTATTTATAATTTTATCTTATTTATTTATTTTGCTTTAGGACACATGCACTTGCTAGAGACAGAGAGAGAGGTGGAAAGTGACACAGTACCCCCAATGAGGGATGGCCATGCCACAGTCCCTTCTCCATTCTCCTCTTGGGATTTTTGGCATGCACGCACCTGTACCTGACTTGTTTTTCAAACCACTGAGTCCAAGACTCAAAACGTGCAATGGGCCATGTAGGATCTAGCTGTCCTAACCTCTATGCCATCTACTGGCCCTTAAAATTATTTTTCTTAATAGACAAATAATAAATTATATATAAAGTACAGTGTGGTATACATTTATAATGTTTAAATATGATCAGTTAACCAATCCATTACCTCAAATACATAGTCTTTTTGTGTGTGTGGTGAAAAACATTTAAAAACTACTGTTTTACCAATTTTAAATATATCAGGATGGTCTTCAAAAGTTTAAGAAAATGTGTATTATGAAAAAAACAAGTATGGATTTAAAAATTTTTCCACCATAATAAAGTCATACTTCAATTCCATTTTTTTTCCCTGAATGTTTGGAAGTTCCTTGGTACAATGCATTATTATTACCATTCTGTTGATAGCACTTCACACCTGCTGGAATGGCTGTTATCAAAAAGACATATGACACAAGTGCTGGCAAGGATGCGGAGAGAAGGAAGCCCTTTGTGCTATTGGTGGGAGTGTAAATTTATACAACAATTATGGAAAATAGTATGGAAGCTCCTCAGAAAACTAAAACCAGAATTATCATATAATCCATCAATCCTCCATTGAAAGCAGGATGCTGAAGAGATCCTGCACTCCCATCTTCATAGCAGTGCTATTCACAATAGCTAAGATATGGAAGCCACCTATGTGCTCATCATTTAATGAATAGATTGAGAAAATGTGATACACATACACACACATACACAATGTAACAATGTAATGCTAATTCCATTCTGTCTTAAAAGAAAGGAAGAGGGAGGGAGAGTCCATCATTTGCAACAGCAAAGATGAACCTGGAGGACATTATGGTAAGTGAAATAAACCAAGCACACAAAGACAAATACTGCATGATCTCATTTATGCATAGAATCTAAAATAGTAGAACTCATGGAAGTAGAGCGTAGAATGATGGTTCCCGGAGGCTGAGAGAGTAGGTTGGTTGGGGAAAGGGGAAACGCTGATCAAAGGGCACCCTTCAGTTGGATAGGAGGTGTAAACTTTAGAGATCTATTGTACAGAATGATGACTAAAGCATTCTTGATCGCCTACTCACAAATTTTGTTAGATTCCTATCTGCCTCCTGCATGCTCTTGTCGGTCATACTCCCCTCCCTCTTAGAGCGGTTGGAATAATTCACAGAGAAATGGAAACTATTGCAAATGTATTTCTATGTTCATTTGTCCAATAGGCATTTATGCACAGCATTCCCAGGTGAACCAGCGAGTCTTCCAGAGCTGCAGGTTGCACTTCACTGACCTAG